TGGCGGTTCTATGCCTCTTCATCCATAAACACAGAACCACGTATTTTCTTAAAAAAAAGATTTTCTTTTATAACCTGGTGCAGTTACCAAGGTTAGGAAATTTCACATCGAAACAATACTCATATTTGACCCAATGACTAGGGGGACCTTGGTACCTGAGCAGGTTGCCATGACAACAGATGCTGGCAGCCAGATCAGCAGGCAACAGCTCACAGGATGGGGCTCAGAGGGGAGGCGGAGGGCACCCCCCACCAAGCTTGGGGGAAGTCAGGGTTAATAGAACTTTGGGAACCACAGAGAGTGAAGTTCCTCCTGGTCCTCTTAGATCAATGGGGGATGTGGGGATTAAGACTTAAAACACATCTTTTTGAGGAGACACAATTCACCCCAAGGAGACACAATTCACCCCAAATTCCTGGGCCCATAGGGTTTGGATATTAGCTGCATCACTATTGGGCAAGGTGGTGGGCATCTGATCTGCAGTTAGAATCAGTCCATGTTAGGCATCTCCAAGTTGACCCTCGTCTTGCAGGCCTTCCATGACTGCTCTATGCACACAATGACACTTCCCTTTGCTCCATCCCTTGTGCTTATCAGCTTCCTAGTGGACTGAGCCTAGATACTGTTTGGGCATCCACTCCCCACCTGTGTGACTCCAGAAAGCTTATCCTACATGAGTGTTGCTGAAAATCCTCATTGGTGTCCCACCCCTTTGCTGGAGATTGGTTTATGTGTGGGCATGTGACTCTCTTCTGGCCAATGAGATGTGAGGGAGAATCATGGAGGCAGCTCCTAGAGGCCACTGCATTCCATGGCTCATGACCCCTTCAACAATGTGGATTCATTCCCCATGCTGTCATCTCTTGTTCTCTCTCTTCTGACTCCTGCTTCCACTTATAAATAGGCCCTCATGTTACACTGAGGCCATCTAGATAATCCAAGTTCATCTCCCATATCAAAGTCAGCTGATTAATTTCACCTGGAACATTGATTTCCCCTTGACATGGAACAGAACATATTCACAGGTTCTGGGGATTTGGACGTGGACATCATTGGCAGTTGGTATTCTGCTGACCACAAAAGTTTTCCTTGTTCCTAAGAGGGAAGCACAGGAAAATGGTCCTTTTCTGCCTGTGGCCATTGCAGCTTCATGATGAGATGTCTGGAGCAGCTGCAGCCATATTGGTGCCCATCTGAGGACGAACACAATGCAAAAGCAGGCGGAACCAAAATAATCACAGAGCAGCAGAGTGGAGTCCAGGAGACTCTTTTTTTGGAGGACATAATACATTGCCTCTCTGCTTAAGCCCATCAGAGGCAGGATTTTTGGTTGCCTACTGTTAAAGGCATCTACAGAGCGGAATACCAGCTGCCCCTCAGATGCCCTGGAAATAGAATTCCAGTCTATCTGTGTGTGTGTGTCTCCAAAGTCTACATTTCCCAGCTGCCTTTGCAACCAAGCATGGCCCAGTGACCAAGTTCCAACCAGTAGGATGTAAGAAAGAGTGGCTATGCCTTCAAAAGTGAGAAGTGCACAAAACCTGGAAACTACCCAAATTCCTATGAACGGTAGAATTGATTAAAAAACCGTGGTGTATGCACTGAGTGGAATGTGGCCCAACAGTGACAATGAACATGGATGAATCTCATGTAGTTTTGAACTAAAGAAACTAAATGTAGAAGAACATAAATACCAAAAAATTCCATTTATATAAAGTGAAAGTCAGCCAAAATTAATCAGTACTCTGAAAAGTCAGGATAGTGGTTATCCTTGTGGGGAGTGGGGAGGGGAGACAAAGGAGTCTGGGGCTTTTGGGCTGCTACATGGCAGTTGTCTATTGTGGAAAGTCCTATGCTTAGGGCACATGGTATTGGGAGACCGAAAAAGAAAAAAGTTCCAAGAGGACGGGGCCCAGCCTCTCCTCCCCTCTGCCTCGAGCCGGGCAGGCATGGACTGCAGGTATCCAGACTTTTGTGAGGAAGAAATCCTCCTGGGTCTTTGCTGCAACCGTGAAACCACTTGCCTCTGTGGGAGAAAAATAGTTTCCTCATCAGGGCCCAAGAAATCGATCACAAGTGTAGTGCCCTTTTCAGAGCTGAAGTTCCTTAAATATGAGTGAGAGGCTTGCTATTTTAGACCCGAGCAGATGGTGTGCATTTCATGCCACTGTTACTAATTGGACGCACCGTGCAAGGCCTTACCTATGTAAGCTGTTCTCACTCAGAGACACGGGGAGATGTCGGGGCGTCCGCGGTTGTCACGACTGGGGATGCTCCTGATATCAAGTGCGTGGGGCCAGGGATGTTGCTGGACCCTCCATAGTGCCCAGCAGGGCCCTCCACAGAGAACCACCCAACTCTCCACGGTGCCCATATGGAGAAACCCTGCTATACATTGAAGAACACGCAGCAGATGGAGGGCCCCACGCCACCCCCAGTGCTCTTCTGAGAAGCAAAGCACCACCCACCCCCATTTCAGGCCCCACAGGCCTGCTGGGTCCTTCTGTGTCTTTACCACCTGAGTGGGGGGTAGATGATGGGTCCCCAGGCCCCTTTACCACGACCCCCATGTGGACTCACCTCTTGCATTTTTTTCCCCTCACCCGAGGACTTTTTTTTTCATTGCTTTTAGAGGGAGAAAGGAAGGGAGGGAGGGAAACATGATGCAAGAGAGAAGCATCTATTGGTTGTCTCCTGTAGGCACCAGAACCGGGGATTGCACTCACCAGGGCCAGGATGGCATGCGCCCAGACCAGGGGACAGGGGATCGAACCCGCAACCTAGGTACCTGCCCTGACCAGGAATCAAACCTCAGTGCTTCTGCCAAGAGACGAGGCTCCAACCAACTGAGCCACACTGGCCAGGATACCTCTTGCATTGTGGGAGAACTAAGTTGGTTTCAGGCGGAGAGCCAGGGCAGGGAAACTTTACACCTTCACTCTTTGCATCTCCATAGGAGCAGGACTGTGCTTGAAATTCAGCCCTGGAGGGTTTGGTACTGAGTCCTTGTTTCTGCCTCCGCTGAACATCTCTTTCCCAGAGGCAGGAAGGGCACTGGATCCCTTAGCTTTTGCCACACCCACACAGAAATGCCTTTTGGTCAAGGGCCTTTCCCATCATTACTGAATTTTGCAAGTACTGAAATTCGCAAATGCTGGAGGCCCTGGCCAGAGGCAGCCTGGCGCTCCGTGCTGTGCAATCTTGGACAGTGACTTGGCCTCTCTGGGCGACATGGAGATGACAATACTGAAATCCATCTCCAAGGATGGCCTGTGAGGAGGTTTCAAATCGATGTCACAGAGCACCGGCAAAATGGCCTAGATGCCCTTGAGAGGGGCGACCTCTTTCGGCCGCCCTGCGGTACTGCTGTTCCTCCCAGGCGTCGGCAGCGGATAAAATTATTCAAGGCGCTTACGGAAAAACTGGAAAGGGGCGGACCTATTCTGAATGCAGGGATGCTAGGCAGGAGCGAGACAAGCACGGTCCCCGCCCAACTAAAGCCCGTACTCTAATGCAGTAAAAAGACAGTTACAAATGCAACATAGAGTAAGATCATGATAAATGCTGTGAAACACCGTCAAAAAGTCTCCGTAGATTCAGCGAGGCAAACGCTTAATCTACTTTGAGCAAGTGGTTAGGGAAGGGTGTTTGGAGGAGGTGCTGTTTAAGGCGAACCTTGGAGGACTCAGCCACCTGAAATTTGAGAGGTGGGCTCACTGCAAAGTGATGAGAGATGAGACTGGTGGGGATGTGGGGTTTGAACAGACCAACAGGAGGCCAGTATAGCAGGTGCCAGGTGTTCACTCTCTGGAGGCAGGAACCTGCCAGGGAGCCTGCAGCACTACCTGGATGCTTTGACAAACTCACTCAGGGTAGGATTGTTGCATAGCAGACAGCCCCAAATGAGTGGCTTAAAATCAAAAAGGTGCACTACTTCCCCTGATCCTGAATCCTGGGCCGGACTCAGCATGTTAGCTCTCGTTCCTGGTGGTGTCTGTTGAGGCTGGGATGCTGAAGGTGGCCTCTTCGCTCATTGTCTGGGGAGCCCCCACACAGAGGGGTCTCCAGGATTGCCACATTCATAGGTTCAGCAATGCCACCAAAGACCCATCTTCAGCTTATCATCCTCAGAATAGCAGGTCTCATGGTCACAATATAGCTGCCTGAGCTCTAGACATTATAGACAGTCTCAAAAATAACCAAGAAGAAGAGATGGGCTTCTTCCTTTGGTGTCCTTGCAATTCCCCCCCGCCCCCTGCCCGGCCAGATCTTATTCCTCAAACAACTCTGGGAAGGGGACAGAACCCCTGGTGTGTGCTATGACCACCAGCCTCCTCTATCTGAGCACAGAGGGGGTCTCTTACTAAGAAGCAATGTAGGGTGAAGTCGGGTCTGCTCCAGCACGGAGCCCTGCTCCTAATTTAACTGTTCATTCAACAGTCTTTCCTGAGAGCCTTCTGTGGGTGGTTGCCGTTCTAGGTACGAGGACATGCAGAATGGGACACCCTCAGGCCCTGGTCTGGAGAGGTGACTTTCTACAAGACAGTGTAGAAAACAAATAAGTCCATAATGTCACTTCAGGTGATACTGAATGCCACAGAGAAATCAAACAAGATGTTGGGGTGCAGAGAGACCCAGGATTGCTGCTGCCTTCCTGAGTAGGAGCTGGCCTCGAGACATGTGTGGGCAAAGGGTTGCAGGCAGAGGGACCAGCAAGTGCAAAGGCTCTGCAGAGGGGGACATGCCCGGCGTGTTCATGGAGCAGGGAGGCAGAGTGACAGGAGAGGACACATGAGGCTGAGGTTGGAGGAGTGAGTCGGCCCTACAGGACCTCGTGGAGGGGCTACGAGAGGAGCTTCAGCAGCACTCAAGTGATGGGCACTGTAGAGTGGAATGTGGATGCTGAGAATGTGGGCAGGCCATTCTCCTGTTGCCCGGTGACCACAGGCTCATTGGGTGTGTTGGGAGCAAGGCCGAAGGGCTGGGGAAGGGCTCCGGTCATGGAGGACGATGGGCAAAGCTTGCTCTATAACCACTACACCTCGGAGTCTGAGGGCAGGTCAGAAAGAGGGCAACATGATGACGCTCTGGGCCTCCAGGGCACTGTGTATGAGAGCCTAGGGTCCAAGGACCCCAAAGACCAGAACTTAAACAATGAGGAGCTGGGGTTCGAAGACCAAGAAGAGGAAATTCCCCCTGAGGAGGTGGCCGAGGAAGAATTCCTGGATGATCAGGACCCAGGAGAGGCCCTCCCAGAGCCGGAGAGCATTCTGAAGAAAGACGAGGAGGAGGAGGAGGAGGAGGAGGACGCTGTGCCTGAGATGAGGTAGGCGTGGGGGGGGGGCCCACACAGGCTGGGTGGGGCCCATGCGCAGGGGAAGGAGTAGTATCCCCATGCCTTCCCCTTGCTTCTGTGGCCTTTGTGTTGTTGCTGCTGGCGTGGTTCCCTCTGGGGTCCAAGGACTCATTCTAGGGTGAGGGTGTCAGACGGGGTGGGCACAGCACCCTTCCTGTCCTCTGAGGCAAAGTCAGCAAACATATCCAGGTTGCAGGTAGGTTATAGTGGAAAACTCTACAAAAGCGCCAAGTTTTAGAGTTGGACAAAGTTCAGATGCCAGAGTTGAGAAGTCAAGAGAGGTGGCCCTCACTTAGAGAAAAAAAGAAATGGGGAAAATCACCCAGTTCAGAAGCTGCAAGCATTCCTACTACTACCCATGGCCAGCAATGTTTAAGATGGCCGGGAGGACGTGCCTGGGTGAACTGAAAGGTGGTGAATCTGCATTTGTGGGAGTGATTTTCGGCAGCTGGTGTCCTGGAAAGGGCCAGGTGCCTCTGGCAGATTTAGCGTGTGCACCCCTCCCTTCCTCCACTGGGCCACCTTCTGGGCTTTTCTGGATGGTGAGCGTCCAGGCAAGAAGGCACTGAGAGCGTCAGCAGGAGCTGGCTGCTGCCTTCCCTCCTCCGGCTGCCCTCGTTGTGGGCATGATTTCGCACAGCGCAGGCAGACGCCTGCTGACATGACCTGTGATATGGCCGCGCTGTTGTGGAGGAAGGGGTGCAGGGCAGGGATGGGGCCCAGGGAGGACATTTGAGTCCATGGCTGCAGGAAGTAGGGAGAAGGCTCTGTTCCTCCCATAGTCTGAGGTCCCCCTCGGGGGCCTGGATACACATGAGATGACAAAACATGTTCTGTAATTACTACGACCATCCTGTGAGGCGGGGGCAGGTCTCTTCCATTTTGCAGAGCAGGGTACAGGGTCACCTGGCCGGGGTCACACATCCAGCTGCTGCTGGAGCAAACATTGCAGTCCACATCTTTTGACGCCAGTATTCAGCCCCAGAGAGGCCCCTGCACAGGGCGAGGAGATTTGGGGGGCTGGGAACGCCAGCAACACCAGCCTCACCACCCAACTCTCCCAAAGCCGGCTGTCCGTCACCCAGAGGTTCCCCAGCACCCCCATGGTAAAAGGGAAGAAGAAGAGGAGGAGGCTTTTTGAACTGGCAAAACCCAAGACCAACTGGCAAGTCTTGAAAGACAGGTGAGGGGTGCGGGCAGTCTTGCTGGAGGCAGGCGCGGGGTCTGGGAGGAGGAGAGCAGCCCGTGGGGGTCTCGTCTGTTTACGCGCATGGTAAACTTGGGGGGAAGGGTCACGGTGCCAGGAGGGGGGACTTGGGGGGTGCGGTGGCCGGTGATGGCCTCTGGGTGCCGGCCCAGGAGAGAGAGGCATTTGAGCAAGTGGGAGCTGCAGAGCAAGGTAGGGGCTGGGCTGTCTCATCGCAGGATGAGGTGCTGCTGTAAGGGCTATGCCTGGATCTCCCCATGCATGAGGACCTTGGAGTTCTGTGTCTACTGGTAAGTCCCAGGGTGTCTCCTCTCTCCATCTCCTGCCCATGTTGGGGGGAACAGCCAGGCCCCAGGGCCCTTTCCTTAGTTATGCCTTTTTTCCCAGCTCCCCACTTCTCTGAACATCAGCCTTGCTCAAAGTAATCTACGTTTCCCCGCGACTCTAAGATTTTTCTCCCGGTGCCTCTCTGACCTGCTCTTCTCTTGTGCCTCTGCATTCTCTCCTTCCCACTGGTTGCTCCACCCCGTCTTCCTCCAGCTACCCTGCCTCTGCTCCATCGTCTTTCTGTCTGCGCATGTGCCTGTGTTTATGGGGGGCCCTGAGTTCTGTTTCAGAGCAGGGCGCAGGAAGCCTCTGCCTCGGCTTCCCTCACCCTGAGCCACGCCTGGGTGCATTCTAGGCCATCCGTGTACTGGACAGAGAGGTTTCTGGAAGACACCACTCTTGCTGTCACGATACCTGGTAGGTTGAACCCACCCTCTACCTCCACTTCTCTGTTAGTGGCTGCCTGGCTCAGGGCGTGGCCGGAGGTGGCCCTTGTCCCAGCCATGGCTCCTGGCCAGTCTGTCTGACATGCCGCTCCTGACCTCCTGGTATTGGGTCGCCCCCATCTCACCCCAGCCTGTGCCCTGCTCCAACTGGGGAGACCTCGGGGACTCCCCTAGCCCTAACGCCCCTGGGAGTCCCCGTAGCTCCTCCCCTTCTTCTATGTCCCAGGGGGCGTCTGTCCACTACCGTGCTCGGGGGCTCATCTCTGGACTCTACCCCCTGAGGAGACAGAGCCAGCCCGAGGCTGGTCCTGGGCTGAGGCGTGTGGGGCAAATTCTCCAGAGGAAATCCCAGTTTGCACCACAGCCGAAATGGGGTTAGCATTAACTTTACCACAAGTTTTTTTCCTTCCTTTTCACAATGGTTTCTACCCTTTTTGAGAGCAATGGATTCCTTCAAATAAAACACTTCAAGAAACCTCATTACTGTAGAGAAGTAAAGGGCGGGGTGAAACTAAGCCCCTGGAAACCCTAGGTCTATACAAACTTCCGACCAAAATCCACTTTCCCAGCCAGGGGGTTGTTGGAGCCACATGAGCCCTGCCGAGGAACTGACAGGTCTGAGCTCCTGTCCCAGCCTCGCCGCTCCCATCCTCGGGTGCTTGAGTCAGGGGCTTCAGGCCTCTGAGCCTATTGTTCCCAGAATGGAGACAGCAAAAGTCACCCCTCTGCAAGGTGTCTGGTGCTGAGCTGCCTGGGCCCATTGTTTCTCACACCGTGCCTCTGGCTCTAGCCCAGGGAAAGCGGAATTCAGTAGGAAGAAAAGCCCTGGGGGCGGACATGTTTCAAGCTGGGGCTGTTTCCCATTTGTGTAGCAGTGTCCCGCCGAGTGGAGGAACTGGCCCGACCTAGAAGGTTCTACTTGGAGTATTACAACAACAATAGGTAAGGGGAGAAGTGTTGGGCGAGCGCTCTGAGGGCAGAGTTTGGCAGGAAACCTTTCCCTTCCCTTGAAAGGGTACAGCATGGGGAGGACTCAGCTCCTGGGACTAGATAACCTGAGTCCAAACTGGGTGGTGCCCGAGGCGGGCTCTTGACCCTTGCTTGGGCTCTCCGTTCCCGCCTGCGAAACAGGTGGGCCTGGAGATCACACTTAGCACAGTGCCTGCCAGAGTAAGTGCTAATGTCACTTATCCTCATTATGGATTTCTTTGGCTCTGAAAGCTAGCAATTGTAAGACATTATTATTTTACGTACAACTAATGAAACAATTCTTTGTTTTCACTTAGAACTTTCATGCTTGTCAAAAGCGGGGGTTGTTTGGGGTGTGGAGAGTTTGAGCAAAAAAGAACAAAAGAGAGAAGAAACTCAGGGACAGAGATAACAGTGTGGTGATTGCTGGGAGGAGTTGGGGAGGGTTAGGGGGATAAATGGTGATGGACAGAGACTCGGCTTGGGGTGGTGAACACACAATACAGTGTACAGACGATGTGTTAATAGAATTGTGCACCTGAAACCTGTAGAATTTTGTTAAACAGGCTCACCCCAATAAATTCAATAAAAAGGAAAAAAAGATCTTTAGAGTTATTTAGAAATAAATTTTAATTACCCATCTTAATGCATGGCCTAATGTAGTAGGTGCTCTGTAGGGTCCAGTGGCACAGCCTCTCTGATCACCTAAGCTGGGTACTTGAGGTGCATCCTTCGTCCCGTGTGGGCTGTGTACACCCACTTCTTGTTGTCGAGCCTTGATTGCTGTTGGCACATCAATGGGAGAGGTTTCTCCCCAAGCCGATCAGTCTCTAGCCCCCATAGAGGATATACTGTGCAGGGGCCTGCCTGTGAATGATGTTGGGTGCTGGTGCTTCAATGTGGTCTGACACTGTCCACTGGGTGCCCTGGGCCAAGGTCAGTTACCACCTGTGTTCTGAGGATGGCTGCTACTTGTGCTGGGCTTGAAGGTGCCTAGGTGAGGCCAAGCTGCGAGCCAAGGCCAGACGCTGCTAGTGCCAAGCCTGGGTCCTCTTAGCGTGATGTATGGGGCTTGCTGAGGCCAGATGCTGCTTGTGTGAGAGATTTTAGGAAAATCTGAAGCGTGAGCCAAGATAGCCCATCTACATGAAAAAGCCACAGAAATAGCTTCGATGGGCCCAAAAGATGGGTTTGGTGGGACCTCAAGGAATCACCAGGTTGGGGAAAACAGTGTGAGCCAGGTTGACAGAATCTCAGATTTGGCACCACCTGCTGGTTCTGTGGGAAGAGGGCTCATCAAAGGAACAATGTCCTCTGCCAGCACTTCTGTCTGGGAGAAAGCTGCCCCCCGCCGTTCTCACCCTGATGCCAGACAGTTCAGTCCCTCCCCATATGTCTCTGGTGTCTTTCAAGCTGCTGCTCCAGAGCAGGAACTCAGAGGGAGTGAGTCTCAGTAAGTCCGTGAATGGGCCCTTTAAGAGGAATGCCTGGGACTCTAGGAGTCCTCCATCTCTCTCAGTCTCAATCCCTGCTAGTTTTTACATCCAGAAGTTATGGAGATTTCTCTTCCTGGCATTGGAATGCTTGGCTGGGGACCTTTTATTATTCAGGAGGGACCTCTGTAGCCAAGATATCCTTCCTAACTTTTATCTGCTACAGCAGGTGTGGGACCAACCTGTTCCACGTTTCTGCCCCTCTTACTAATCTCGATGTGGCTCCTTTAATTCCCTAATTGTAGGACTTTCACTCAGCAGATTTCAGGTGGTTGTGAATGGTGGTGGTCCTGTAATTTAGTTGTAATTTTGATGTTGTTGTGGGAGGAGGTGAGCACCGCTTTTACCTATGTCGCCGCCTCGACCGGAAGTCTGAATCATTTTTTGATTCAGAGATGCTGACATGTTCCACACACGGTTTAAGCCTGTTTTTGTGAAAATAGCTTTTAATTTTAATGTTGAATCATAGTGTAATCTGAAGGTAATTTAAACTGCAATTAGACTTAACATCTGTAAACCCAAGAACACACATAGCTTGACTGAGGTTATTTCAGTGAGAACAGCTACGTCCATGTACTGATGAGGACAACCGTGGAGTTTCTGATGTCCAGCTGGCAGTCTTTATAAGCTGCATCCTGACCTCAGAGATGTGATAATATGAGAAGTGTGCCTTAGATCAGTGAAACACAGCTTTATTTATGGAACAGAGGCATAGCTGAGACCTGATTTTAGGAGGCGTGGGCTCAACAAAACCCAGTGGAAGATCACTTTCCCAGCTTTCTGTGACAACTGCTGGGCACAAACTGTTACCCCTAGTGTCCAAATCTGGACTCATGCCCTGATGATGGGGGTGTGAAGAGAAAGCCCTAGGAGAGGGGTGACCTCCGGACAGCATAGCCCCAGCCTTGAGAACACACAAAGGCTCCTGTTAGGGATTCTTTCTTAAATCTCTTCTTGGAGGTGTTTTCCAAACCCTCCACTTTCCCAGGTTCTCCCTTATCCCAAGAATCAAAGAGGAGCCGAGAAGGAGAAGACACACACACACACACGCACACACACACACACACGCACACGCACACAGAGAGAAATGTATAGACATGCCCCCCGTTGGCTGAACTAGTGTCTCAAATGTGGATGTCCCCTAGGACTACCCCCATTCTGCCCATTCCTCGGTCTACCTTGGAGTACCAAGCATCTAGTCGCCTGAGGGAACTGGCCACCCCACGGGTCCGGAATAACATTTGGAGCATAAACATGTCTGAGGTAGGTGCTTCACCCTCCCGGGACCCTCACCTCCATGGTCAGGGCACTGCCCCGACTCCGTGGACTGGGATCAGGGGCCAAGACCGACAAGTGGGAACAGACGCCAGAGCCATAAACGTGTGTCTTTGGCCAGCTGTATTATTTTCATTTTATATTTTATTACATACACAGACCATAATCATTGTATTTTTAACATACATATGTGACATCTTAATTCTCGTTTTTCTTCTCAATATTTGTTTTTTAGAGCATTTCATGCTGATTTGTAGAAAAGCAACATTTTAACTGCTGGGCCACATTCTGTCCTATGAATGCACCACATTTAGTTTACCCAGTCCCCTTCTACAGACAACTAGGTTGTTTCCAGCTTCAGTGAATACCACTGCGCTCACATCCTCGTGCCCTCTCTGTATGGCGGTTTCTCTATATGGCGGTCAGCAAATGTGCATGTGCTCAGCTTCATCTGAGATGGACAAACTGCTCTCCAAAGTGCTTGTACTAATTTACTTACCACGAGCCACGCATGGGATATCTCTACCCCTACAGTCTAGCCAGGGCTTGACAATGTCAGACTTAAATTTTTGCCATATGTGTTTGCATGCAGTGATATTTTGTTGTTTTAATTTACATTTTTCTAGTCAACAGAGAGGATTCTTGACCATTTAGGTTTATTGTCCTGAATGGTTACCCTTGCCCGCTTTGGGTCTTTTTGCCTATTGATTTAGAGGTGCTCTTTACATATGATAGCTACTAAGCCTTTTGCTGAACACATTGCAAACTAACTTCTTTTCATTCGGTCATCTATCTCTTAGTGTTGCTTATGAGGTCCTTTTGATCCAGAGACCTCTGAGGAGCTATGGACTGTTTTACTCTTTCGCATCTCATTCTGTTTCCAGGTGTCCCAGGTGTCCAGGGCAGCCCAGATGGCCGTCCCCAGTTCGAGGATCCTCCAGCTGGCAAAGCCCAGGAGTCCAGCCACCCTGCTGAAAGAGTGGGACCCTGTGCCAAAACCCAAGCCACATGTGTCAGACTATAACCGGCTCCTTCACTTGGCCAGTAAGTAGGTCCTTGTGTTTGTCTCCACTGGACAGAGGCAGGGGCAGGGAACAGTCAGAAGACATGGACTTCTGGTCTGCTTCTGCCAGATTTGTGCTTCCCTTTTCTTTAATCTCCTCCCTTAGCTGAAGACCAGTTGTCAGGTTGCTGTGGACAAATTGCACTGTGCGGGCTCCCTGGGGAAAAGAGGCAGAAGTTAGAGCGGACCATGGTCCTGAAGCTGAGTGCTGTCTGAGTGGGTCTACTAGAAGGACAAGTGGGTACAGAAAAGAAAGTTGTGGGGACAGGGCCAGTGACAAGGGAGCCAAGCTGAGGTGAAGGGCAGCTTTGAGATGGTGTTGGCCTGATTCCCCTCTGTACTTTAAAACAAATGACATACCTGGTCCCCTCATGACAATAGTGATGTGTACTAACTGTAGAGAATTGGGAAAATGCCTAAGAGCCTAAAGGAGAGAGGAATCCCACCGAAAGATGATGCAGTTCAGTGTGTTTCATTCTGGGTATACCATGGGGTCACACACAGAGCCACAATTGCGTGTGGCTGTGTGTGTGCCTGTGAGTATGCACCTTCCAAGTGCTCCCCCTGCTTGTCCCCTCCCTTCACACCCCACGTCCAATGTACTGAGAACTCCTGTGGGCTTGGCCTTCTGAGTACATCAGGATCCCGCCCTCATGCCCCGTCATCTGTCCCTGGACCAGAGCAGTTGCCTCCACCCTTATTGCTGGTGTCACCCTTGTTCATTCCCCAAGTGGCAGCTGCAGAGGTCTTGCTGAATTTAAGTTATTCCACCCTTCCTTGCTCATGACCCGTCCAGGGCTCCAGCCTCACTCTGTGCGCCTCACAGGCCCTTGGAATCTGTTCCCTTCTGCCCTGCTGCCTCCCGAACCTGGGTGCACTCTTGCTGCCTGGAACACTGACACCTGCATGGCTCACTGTTCTGCCTCCCATAGGGTGGAGCTCCAATTTGTCCTCTTGGTGAGGCCCCTCTGAGCTCCCTGCTTAACCCACAAGCTGTGCCCACCTCTGGACACCTGTGTGCACCTGGGCTGCTCTCTGCGCTCTTTCTCTGCAGTATCTGCTGCATTCTAACATATATATTTATTATATATTTGTGTGTCTATTTGTCCTTCGTTGTCTGTTCCATGCCAGCCCTCCGATGTCAGAGGCTTGGACATCCTGTGTGTTCCCCGCTCTTGGCACATAGCCACCAGGGAGGGTAATTGGTCATTCTGGTTTACTCTGCTCTATCATTTCGCCGGTTACCTATTTCCTGTGTTTTTGGCTATTGATTTGGAGCACTTTTTTAATATAATATCATCACTAACACTTTGTTGAGAACATTGCAAAATAGCTTCTCTCCTGCCCCTCTCTTTTCTTTTAACTTTGTTTACATGATCTTTTGTTTGTTTAATTTATTCATTTATCCATTTCCTTAATACTTATTAAATGATTGGTTGAATGAACAAAAACATACGCATACATATGCACTGCTGCCTTAGACCATGCTGTTTCTCTCTCTCTCATGGGTACCTGGAATATAAATATATACACATTTGTACATACACACCTGTGTACATATTCCTCCATGTTTCAGATGTACCTATAAATACACATTCATGTATGTGCATAAGAATGGTGTCAGGTTGTGCTTTTCAAACAGCAGATTCCTACCCACTCATGGGTATGATCAACATTTTAAAAAGTAAAATGACGGCAAATGACGAGCATGAACCATGGTGGGTGAGTATGAGTCCATGCTCCCTGTGTGTCCACATGTGTGCTGTGTGGCAGTGGACTCAGTCAACAGAGTTTAAAAGCCCAGATATTACAACAGTGGAAAGCTCCAGAATTCTCACAGAGGAGTTCAGAAAAGGCTGGGTTTTGGGCATGGTCTTCCCAGCCCCCCGGGGAGACCACTAAGGTCCCCTTCCCTTTGGAAGGAATGGTCATCTGCCTGGTGGCAAAGCTCTGGTACAGGTCCTATGGCCTTGTCCAGCAGTCGGCCTGTGTGGGCTTGTGCCTGCCTGGAGGAAGGAACCCCACTCTCTTTCATCAAGGGCTCCTCCTCCAAGCCAGGGTCTGTCTGCTGAGGAGGGGGGAGGGGTGGCCTCTCCTATTTGCACAGAGGCTCTAAACAAAGGGGTTTAGAAACGAGGCTGTAGCACCCCTGAAAGCTGAGGATCCTGAAGCTCCCAGACAATGAAGGCGAAGGCAGTGACCAGTGGCAACCTCCTACCTTCCTTCAAGTCCCTAAGCACGCTATGTACTGCAGCTCGCTGGACAGGAAGGGGTGGCAGAGAGGTGGCAGGAAGGGAGTCCGGCTGAGCTACAGGTCTCTGCTCCTGAGATCTCTCTGTCCATGACAGCAGCCACTGGCCATGTATGGTTACTTCAAAAAAATTAAAATCAATCAATCAGTTGCTCTAAATAAATTAATTGATTCTATTAAAATTAAATAGAAGTAAACTCCAGCCTGTATCAGGTGCTCCCAAATGTGGCTGGTAGGAGCCATGTTGCTGCCCTTCTGAGAGGCCCTGGCTGAGGCTGCAGTCACGTTGGACAGGGAGGGCAGGAGCCCAGAAGGACGAGTTGGGAGGCTGAATACAGAAAGGGCCTGTGCACCCAGGGAGCTGCCCCTGGGTAGACCCAGCAGGCCTGCAGGACCAGCCAAGGGGAGATGATTCCCACAGTCATTGCTCACCGCTTCTCCCCACCATGGCATCAGAATAGGGAGGAGAGAGCATGAAAGGGCCTGCTGAACTCCCCCCAACCCTGGCCACCGGACACTTTTGGCTAGCCCTTGTGAGTCCCCCTGTCTGGGCATTTAAAATATTTTTTTTCATTTACAATTCACCCTTTTAATTTTTCACAATTTACCCTTTTAAAGTGTACAATTCATTATACCTCCATAAAAAAATAAAATGTACAATTCATTTCTTTTTAGTATATTCACAGAGTTGTGTACCCATCACCACAGTGGATTGTAGAACATTTTCATCACCCCAAAGAGAAACCCCCTGACTATAAGCAGTCCTTCTCCATCCTGTTATCAGCCCCTGGCACCCACTAACGCACTTCCTGTCTTTATGGATTTGCCTGCTCTGGGTATTTCACATGAATGGAATCACACACTGTGTGACCTCTTGTGTCTGGCTTCTGTCATTGCGCTTCACGTGTTCAAAGTTCATCTATATTGCAGCCTTTGTTAGTGCTTCGCTCCTTTTCATGGCTGAGTAGCATTCCAGTGTGTGGATGGGACATGTGTTTTTTCATTCCTACGTCACCACAGAGGCCATTGAACTTGGGAACTTTGACCTAGCAGGTTGATCTCCATAAGGGGAGTGGCTGCACATCCAACGCTTTGGTGTCTGATGCTGTCATTCTTTCCTGATTTCTCTAGTGCCCAAGGTCCAGTCAGAGAAGTGTGTTCCTGACCGAAATCCACGCTGGGAGGTGCTGGATGTCACCAAGAAGGCAGTGGCCAGTCCCCGGATTATCTCCCTGGCCAAGCCCAAAGTGCGCAAGGACCTCAATGAGGACTACAACCCCTATTACATTTCCCCAGCTTCCCTGGTGGCACGGGCATCCCCTCGCCTGTACGAGCTTGCCACCCCAAAAAGCATTACCAAAAAAGTGTGAGTGACCCAGGCCTGGCCTCTAAGGCCCCATTCCCAGTAAACACCCAAGTGCATCCTAACCTTGTATGTGTGGCTGGCTCTAAGAATTTTGGCCTGGAGGAGGAAGGGCAAGCTGGAAGGCCAAAAGGTGATAGGAGGAAAATAATAATATTTATGTTCACATCCACCTGTGATTTGTACAGCCCTTTATTTCTCAAATCACTTTCCCCTACTGTCTTGAGTTTCTCCGATGTCACACTTCGGCTTCTCACAACTTCGTAATTTTCCCCGAATGTCTTATGTCCAGAATTGCTTATCCAATTATATGCTGGGTGTCCACAAGCACCTTAGACTCAGAGTGATCCCATAATAAAACCAGGGCCCCTACTCTGTGATCTCCCCTCCCTCCGCTGGTCTAAGAGGAGCACCTTGTCACCATGACCCCAGCAGTAATCTGCTTGCTGACATCTTGGAAAGGAATGGGGTTCTTGAGTCCCCCACCTGCCCAATTCCATTCTTCATGATCTCAGTAGGAACCACTATGCACTCATTTGTCCAAGTCAGAAATCTGGGAGCTCACCTTCATGCCCTCTCCCTCTTCATTCCATCAGGGGTTTTGTGGGTTGTACCTTCCCAGTTCTCTCCACTTCTCTATTCCCTGCCACCACTTGCGTCTTGCTGGATATCTCTGCCCACTCACTGCCTCCCGGCTTCCTTTCTTGCTCTCTATAAAACTTCTCCATGAAGCTCACACTTGTCAGTCTGAAATTTAAAATACAGCGAACCTCTGTTAGGTCTGTCCTGTTCAAACTTTCCCTCAGCGCCTACCACAGGTTTACAATGTGCAAGCAGTCCGTAAGTATTTAATGAATTCAGATCCATATGCCAGAGGTTTGAATCCACCTCTCCAGCTGCCCAGTCAGCACTCCGGCTCCTTGGTACAGGGTCGCCATGCTGCTCAAAGCTCGTGATAAGTTGCATCTCGCAAGCATCGCAGTTGGCTCTTTGGCACACTGGATGGATCATCACTGGGGCAAAACTGAAGTTCAAACACTGCCCGGACTTCGGTCTGGCTCTTACGCATTGGGAAGCCGGTCATTCTAGGCCTTAGTTTCCTCACCAGTAATACCGTGGTACTAATAATATTTAGCCAACCTATTGGAAGGAGGAAATGGGACAAAAGCTCCCCACGCAGGTGTGGTTATCAAGAATCAGTATCTTTATTAGTAGCATCCCTCATTGAGGCTAAAGCCAAGAACAAGGTAAGGGTACTGCCAAGACCCTCGAACCCTTGCTCCCCGAACCCGCCCCGCCCCCTCCATCACCCCGCGCATCCCAGTCCGCGCACCTACTACGCCCCGCCTGCGCCCCGCCCTCCAAGGCCACGCCCTCCTCAGACCCCGCCTTTCACGGCTCTGCAGCCAATGAGCCCGCAGCCCCGCATCCGGGGATCCCGGCGCGGCCACCGCCTCCCGCGCACACACACGGCCATGGCGGAGGTGAGTGAGCGGGCTGGGGGAGCCGGCCCCCCACCCCCGCGCACTGGCGTTCCCTGCCGCCATACCTCGGCCACGTCGGGGCTCCGGGAGCGGAGACTGCCCCGCCCCGAGGACCCGAGGCCGTGTCCAGAAAGCCTCGCCCGTCGGAACCTGAGGGGCGCGGGGCTCCGTCGGCAGCCGCCCCCGGCCCTGGCCCCCCCGTTCCCCGGCTGCCACATCGCGGGCTACAGTGCGCATGTGCGGGGGCGGTGGCACCGGTGGGGGCCGCGGAGTGGGGAGGGGGCAGGGGGCGGGCTGACGCGGGGTTGGGGGCGCTCTTGTGGCTCCTCGTCCTTCCCCGGCCCGGCGGTGCTCTTGCTGCCCCTCCACATCCTTGACCAACTTTGCAGAGCGCTCTATGGTCGCCCGGTCGCAGCGCGGCGCGCTCACCCCGCCCAGATCCAGCGTGAGACCCAGCGCCGCATCCCTCTCTTTAGCCTTCAGGTGCCGGGCACTCTGGATTAGCCTTCCCGCCAGATGCCGGGCGGGATTTGAACTCGGCACGAGGTGTGGGGTGCATTGGGGTTCCTCAGGGCAGGCAGAGTTAGAACAGCCTTTACTGGGGCCTCGAAGTTACTTCTTGGAGTCTCTTCTGTCGGTAAGGCAGGCCCAAGACCCCTTACCCGATATCCTCGAGGCCTGGTATATTTTGGGATTCAAAGATTTTCCGATTTGAGGATCTGTGGGGTTTGGAACTGTGATGCTTGATCAGACTCACCTAGCACCATCTGGGTTAAGAAAAGACACCTAATAGCTTCTTGTCAGGTCAAACCAGGAATGAAAAACTTTCACTTTTGGGGGTTCTCGACTTTGGAATATAGAGTAGCACCTGCTATCACCTTTTAGGGCTCTAGTGAGGGTGAAATGAGGTAATGCACCTGCTAGGGGCTCAGTAAATATGACTCTTAGTGCATGAGGATTCAGTCTGGGGACGCAGAAGATAAGGCCACTGCCAAACAGGTCCATGGACTCTGCAAGTGGTCCTCATCAAATGGGTGGGTGGTGCCACTGTGAGATGCTCCCTCAGTGAGGTGCAGCAGGTGTGTGGGATATTCGGCCTGGTGATGGAACCACATTGAGTGTTTGTCTTAGCAGAACATGGGTAGGTGTTGTGGAGGGCGGGACTGGCCATTATCACCCATCAGTGGCTTTCTCAGGGGCAGCAACTCTGCATTTAGGTCAAAGAGGGTGTGGGCATCTGGGTGCAAAACTAGAACTCACCATCCAGTTTGGGCCTTTTGCTGGGTGCTTGGATCCAAAGGGTACTTAGGGAGTTAATTCTCGTTTTTTTTTTGTTTTTTTTTTACAGGGCATTTAGGGAAACTGAGGCATCTCGGGGGCAATGGCTGGCCTTATAGTTTGGAGGCAAAAGCCAGGTCTCCTGATGGCCGAGCAGGGGTCTGTGCTCTTGGCTCAGGGGCATGTTGGTGTTCTCCCTGGGCACCAGGTGTCGTTTGGGCAGCACTGTTATCCTGGAAGGTAGTTATGTGTCACGGAAGGCAGGGCCAGACTCCGTAGCCAGCTGTCCATGATTGCTGCCGGGTTTGGCTGTTGACTTTGCCTTGCCCAATGCTGAGCTGCTGGAACCTCACAGCAGCCTGGTGCCCTGGGTGCTCCTGTTAACCCTGTCGACAGTTTGGGGTGGTGCCCTTTTGAGTCAATTGGAGTTGATTTCTTGAGAAAATCTGCAAGTGAGGTCCCCTATGTGCCTGGTTCCATGGGAGGCCCTGAGGGTCTGGCTGTGAGTAGAAACCCAACAGTGACTGTCCTTAAGGGCCTTGGAGGCTGTTGGTCAGTACAGGACCAACAAGTGTGCAAATGTCAGGTATGATGAGCCACAGCCAGCATCTGCCCAGGAGACTTGTGGCTCTAGAGCCTCTAATTTTGTGTGACTTTGGGCTGAACATCTCAGAGCCTCAGTTTCCTCATCTCTGAAATGGGAAGAGATGGGAGCAAGAGGTCACATGAGATCTGGGCTCAGAGGCTTGTTTGCAGAGAGAAACTGAACCTTAGAAAATCAGATAACCAGCTGTCGAATGAATGAAAATGGTGATTTGTTACCTAGCAGTAAGTGCTTGATCAGGATTAGCTGCCTACTTTTTGTCATCACTAAAGTAGCCATCAGCACCAGATCGGCACTGTGAGAGGAGAGGGGGTACTTGAGAATAGATAGGGGTGCTGTGTCGTGATTTCCTCACAAATACCTAAGTACATGGTCTTTGTCTTGCGCTTAGAACCCCCAACGGCTTTCGTTGCCCTTTGGATATAGTCTGTCTCCTCCCTGTGATCTCTGCCTGGTGGTGTGGCTCTCCTCAGATCTGCCTGTCACCCACACCAGCCCCCTGGGCTTCCTTTTTCTTGTGTGCTGTATTCCCTGGAAGGCCTCCGCGCCACCATGCTGTTCCAGTGCTCTACAGGCCCTGCCTAGAGATGCCCTCAGGGGTTTTTCCTGACCCCAATTGAACAGGCCCCTCACGCTGTTTTCTCCCTCAGTCCTGTACATATCCACCTGTTTGATACCTGTGTCACGAACTTGACTGGTAACTCATGTGAGTGGAGATGGGCAGAACCTGTTTCTGGACTGACTGCTATGCACCCAGTGCCTACTGCCTCACCTGGCCCAGAGGAAGCACTCAGTCAGTGCCGGTCAAATGGAGTAGTGCAGTGCTGGAGCAGCCCGGTGGGAGTGACCACTTCCGCTGGGGTGGGTGAAGGGTGTTCCAGTGTCACCTGGAAACTCAGTGTTTCAAAACGATTATTTTATTATCTTTCATAGTTCTGAGGGTTGACTGAGCTTATCCAGGCAGTTTTTAGTCAGGGACAGTCATGCAAATGCAGTTGAGTGGTATCTGGGGCTGGAGGAAAGCTTCCTTGCTCAGGTGTGGCTGCTGGTGCTTGCTGCTGGCTGGGGCACCTATATGTGGCCTGTTGTGGCTTGGGCTTCCTCACAACATGGCAGCTGCGGCCATCGGTGACTGTCTCAAAAGATAACCAGCTGGAATCTGAATTGTGTTTTATGACCTAGCCTAGAAATCACTTAGAATCCCTCCCACCAAAGTCACAGGCCCAGCCAGATGGACAAGGAGGGAGTGTAGAACCCTATCTCTTGAAGGGAGCCAGGCATATCACTTGCGGGGAGGGGGTGTTAAACATGGAAGGGGGTAAAGTAGCAATTAGATGCAGCCCTGGAAGAAGGACTCTTCTGCCCCTGAGAGGTCAAGGCCCTCCTCCTCCCTGTGAGACTGGACTGGGCAGTCTCGCTGCTGAAGAGCTTGTACCTCCTCCATGTGTAAAAGACCTCTTCTGGACACCAGGCACTTGTTTGGGATCACGTCTCTGGAATGCTGTCTTCCTTCCTTCTCTTCTTCCCCTCACTGTTTTTACACAGAATTCTCTTAGCCAGCTTGCCATCTTCTTTCTTTTTCCATCTTGAGAAATGGAACAGTGACTCCTGGCATTTTGGCTGTTGTGAACCAAGGGATGCAGCCTGTGGGAATCCCACCATT